TTTGGACGAAGGGACGCGAGGAAGGAACGAAGTGAAGTAGCGAAGTGTGAGTATGGGGCTTAACATGTTCTTTTCGGAGTAAAAGTGACTTTTTGTCGCTGCGTGTTGTAACAATATAAAACGTATAGCCTCGCCACAAATAGTATATTGTTTTATTATGAGTAAAAATGATTTTTTTTTGTGGCGAGGCTGTACGTATGACATTACAGGCTAAGTACAAAAAGCCATTTTTACTCCGAATAGAACATGCTATTTTTTTTAACGTCACAAATAACTTTTTAAACAATTTCAACTTTGCAAATAATATAAAAGGATCTAAATGTAAAACCTTGTAAGTACTCTAAATAGAGGAACTATGGTTACACTCGTTGAATTTGACATTTTATGTCAGTTGAATTACATATTTTCGTACTTTTGTGCTTAGGCGCAAACGTACTTTACTTTTATGCCTAGGCGTTAAAATTACTTATTTATATTGTCATATCACATCGCAAAAATTAATACTTTTGAGACGTTTAAAGGAAAGCCATTTTCACTCCTAATAAAGCAATATACAATTTTTTATTTCGACGAAAGGTCATACCTCGATTTTTTTTTGTGGGCTGGCTAAATTTTTATAAAACTAACGAACCAATGGCAGATAATGATGAATTATGACATAAATGTAAATGAAGTTGGCGAATATCCAAGCAGTATAACATTAAAAGTGTTTCTAAGTCTGGAATTATTCGAAGAAGCGTCTTAACAAAAACAAGACTGAAAACATCGAAATAAGAGAGCGAATGCGGTGAGTCATATATCGGAGAGATGAAACGTTTTCTAAATGTACGACTTAATGAGAATACAAAACACACACAGATAGGTAAAATAATAAGGTAAGGTATGACAGATGATGTGCGGTCCAAGCAGAACAACATAAAGTGGTTGAAAACTCGGATTATCTCAAAGAAGCTTATTAGAAAAGGTACAGATTTAAAGAATCCCGCTTTTTATCAAACAACATTAACATCTTTAGCAAACCAAGTGTAGAAATTTCTACAATCTACTAAAAACTTATAAATACTAATAATTGCATCTGCATCAAAAGAGCCATGAGAACCTGCCTAACAGTAGCAATGGCGGTCACTATAGACATAACACCACTGCACGTTTTCATTGGTGGATATTATGCCCATGCGACAATTGACAGAATGGTAATTGACGGTAATAGTACTGGGAGCATTGTCAACTCAGGAGCCCTGAAAAGGAAAATTCCGCAAAAATTTCACACCAAGAATGTACAACTTTGAGAAAAACTCACTATAGTATTGAACAACAAAACGAATCGGAATAGAAACATTTTTGCTCAGCAGTTAAAAGAACACAACATAATTGATGTTTCCAAAACAAAAGCAGGAACAGGGATAGGAGTATTTTGGTCGAAAATGATACTCTGAACCAATGAGCAACTACCCCAGCATTTTTCAGATAGAAATCTACGCTATCGAAAGATGTGTACATATTATCTTAGACAGGAAATATCGGAAACATGAAATTGCCATCTTATCCGATAGTCGAGCAGCTTTAAAAGCGATCAACTCAGTAACCATCAATTGGAAGTTGGTCAAGGAATGCCTAAAGAAGATGAACAAATTGGCAAAGAAAATAAAGTTCTCCTACTCTGGGTGCCAGCTCACTAAGGTATAGAAGGCAATAAAAAGGCAAACGATCTAGATAGAAAAGGAGCGAGCACTCTTAAAGCGGATCTCAAGAACGTCGAAGACTCCATCAGCAACCTGGAATAGGAATCCTTTAACGGTCTAAGACACTCGAAGAAATTTTTCAAAGATTTTCCTTGATTTAAGTAACACTCTTCGGATTTCGGACACTCTTCGGACTAGGTCTATAAGAGGACACTGTCTCCTCAACGAACACCTCAGTAGATTGAAGCTAATAAATACGGCAAATGCAGATTCTATGGAGAAAATGAGGAAACACCAGAACACCTCATCACTGGGTGCCCCGAGACGACAATCATTCGTGCTATGACGTTTGGTACTACTGATATTTCAGATGGAGAACTAATCTCTGTAAAACCGTCTCAGATACTGGCTATTGTCAAAGCCCTGAGACTTTATGATGAGTTATCACAAACTTAAGAAAGGGGGACACAATATATCTGTAAACTTTGTAGCAGTATTGTCAACTGTTTCAAACATTGTTGATCGCTCCGTATAATCAACCACATTAATAATAAGATCACACGTAGAAATTAAAAAATGCGGTATTACAGAACGCTATGCATATTTCATTCAAAGTAGGTCTAAGTATCCTATAATGTTCATATTTTTTAATTATACGCTTATTGTTATCAACATCCAAAGTAAATAACCCAAGGTTATAAAATATGGCCTAGCATGATCTGGAGTCGTTAATATATATAATTTAAGCCATGGAAAGAACATTCTTTGTAAAGGCGGAACGTAAAAATAATTCTTTGTATACACAAGCCAAGCCACGCTTTTGTATTAGGGGAAGGATGAGCAAAAAATATTGCATGCAGTGCATGATTAAGCATTTCTTTGTTATAATGTTACAGTTGTGCCGAGTGGTTTTTTTTTGGTAATTTTTTTCTGTAGATTTACGGCCAAAATACTACGTATATTGTAAATAAAGATGATTTACAGAGATAATTTATTAAACAAGTGGTTTACGAGATTTACAGAATTTTTCATATCATCATAATTATTTATGGGTTTACTTAATTTTGTATTTTATTTATTAATTCATTTCTTAAAAAAATTGGTTAACCAATTATTTATTTTGTGTATGTTTTAAGAAGAATTATAATGAATCAAAGTTATTCATGTGAATCTTTGTTATTTTTATTATTTTATCTATTAACAACGCTGTATAGAATTCTAACGAAAACCAGCTTGTTGCTGCCATTCTATTGGTTATAAAAAATTGCCTAACCATCCAAAACTCCTTAATATTTCAGGATGTATATTTCCTTCTGTGGTAATAAGCAAAAAACAAAAAGAAAAAGCTTATTTAAAATCTCTAAATATAACTATTCAGAAAGCACTTTAGTTTTTAGCAGATATATTTATTATAACCCTTGACGTTCCGTAGAATTAACATTACAATAAGTCACACTTCAAATTTTAAATTACAATTACAAAATATCAATTACCAAGGGAGGTAAAACCAAAAAGATTAAATTTTCTGTATTTATTTTTGATTACTTTTAGTTTTTACTTATGATATGTTTATTTATGTTACGTGGTGTTCTAAAGGAAAGAAATAAAATCAAAGAAGCGATAATCATATATTACTAACTTGTATATTATATAGTGTCTCATTTATTTTTCGTTTAGACGCTATTAGTTTTTTCATTAAAATTTTTGCTGAAAAAAAATCCTGTGTCTCATGAATGCTCACAAATATTAGATTGCGAAAATTGCCTTTCTGAAAAACCAATGTTCTTTAATTTGAAATGGTCTAGATGATCCACCAATATAAAATTTTTATATTGGTGAACCAATGCCAAGTTATACTCCAAAATATTTAAAAAAAGAAAGACAACATATAACGAAATTTCCGTTCCAAGTGAAGTTGATGTTTCTACGAAGTCATTTGTTTTATCAGTAGAATAGCTATCCCGGTAATATCGTACCACATAACAGTGAAGTGAAGTGGGAGTTTTTTTGGCAATTTCTGACAAAGATGTGTGATTGAGACCAATCGATTTGACCTTTATCATATGATCTCTATATTTTATCGTTGTTTTGAATAAACAATAGTTAAACAATGAGTTAGTATTAAAACTAAAAGAATTTCGGACATCCATTGTCTTTGTTTATTTTGCACAACGTTTCCGTCCGAAGTATCACTGACCGTTATCAAGTGTGAACTAATTTAGATCCTAATAATTAATGGTCTAAGCATGAAATTCTAATACCTGCATTGGAACGTTTTGTGAGTTTTATGATTATCATATTGTTGAAATTTCCATTCTTGGATTGCTAAAAATCTTATTATTGTTAGAAGTGGATACAATCTCTTTAAATTTGCGCTGTTTCCAATGTTTTTTTTGTGGACAACCCGGGTTTCCGATCATTTCATGTTGTGTTGTTTGGACCACACATGATCTGCAATGCCTGACTTCATTGTTTCACCTCTTTGCGTATGTTTTTATGTTCGTCCAATCGTACATGTAGAGGACGTTTTGTCTCTCCAATACGAGTATACGACTCATCACACTCGCAAGGTACCTGGTACATGCACTCTTTTTCTTGGTTTGATTGATTGTTTTTGTTAGGACACTTATTAGAGTAGTCCTAGACTTTCACATATGGAATCGTCAAGAGAGAGAGAGAGAGAGAGAGAGAGCATCTTCCTCAGGCTGGCGCACCAATAGAAGACAATGGAAGTCCGAAATTCTTTTAGTTTTAATCTATATTTTATTTTACATTTCCTTCGAAGTATATCCTAGACAAAAGGAAAAAAATACTTTTAAATAATTAATATCATAATATAAATCAAATTTATAAAAAATACATAATTAAAAACCTGACATTATAGACATATACTTCTCTAAATGAAACTCACCTTTTTTTTTTCTCCTAGAATCCGAAAATCAATTATATAGGGTGTTCCAATACAAAAAAAACACAACTTTGATGTGAAATTTTTTTGGGGCACACCCTGTAAAACTCTCTATATTTTTAAAAAATAGTCTAAGTCCATTTACATATGCTAACAAAATTTCATTTCAATACAAGCTGTTGTTCTCCTTGCCACCCTGTATATTTTTACGTAAATTTTTCCGATGTTTTAGTAGTAATCATGTTATTCGGGACGGATACGATTCCGACAAATTAGGGATTATTAAAATCGGTCCAGCCGTTCTTTAGTTATAAATGTATTGTAATTTCAAAGTGTATACATATTCTAACCCGCTTTGTTTTTTGTCTAATTATATTTTACCACCTTTACAAAAATTATTTTATTTCCAGGTCATCCGCCGCCATCCCTAACGTGGTGGCACAACAACACCGTCCTCGACGAAGTGGTGGACTCGAACCGCGGTGCCCACACCACCGTCAATCAGCTGCTAATCAAGTCGGTGAGCAGGAATCTCAGGGGTGGCCGGCTGGAATGCCGGGCTTCCTCCTCGGAGATCGCCGGCAACGTCGTCAGGGAAGTGCCAATTACGGTGTTCCGTAAGTGTCTTTAAAAGTAATCCCTGATGGGGTTAGGCGTTTATTTGCATAAGGACTGTTTAGAGCGGAAAGTAGTGTTATCTGGGACGTGAAGTCCTTCTCTTTATTTTGTCCTTCTTAATCCATGGTATTTCTCTTGCTTTAAATCGGCTTTAGTAGATATGTGTAAAATCACATAAATGGGTGAGTCTTATATGAGTGCAAATATTTTAAAAATAGTATATTTCGACCTCAGAAATATGATTATGAGTTTTTTTTCGCGATAAAGAATTTTGAAAATTTGGAATTTTTGGAAATGTTTTTAGTTCTTATTTAAATACATAATATCTTAATAATATGGCAAAATAGGCAGTAGAATAAATTTACAAATAAGAAAACCCAGAAAAGATCCAGTGTGTGTGTATCCGGTTTTTACAGCGTCCTTCGTCGCCCTCCGGTCTCCATGGGCCACCTCCGTCTATTGTCGCAATCTCCTGGTAGTACTCCTGGTAAGTTCCTTTCTGACATGGCTCTGCCGATTCCTTGATTCCAGGAAAGTATAGGTCGGCTTCGTTTACGTCTGTCTGTAGCTGTCCACTATCTGTAGATGGCCGTACCACTGCAGTTGTTTTTCTGGTATATGTTGTACAATGTTACCTCTACCTTCATTTTTCCACGTATTCTCTCGTTCCCAATTTTGTCTTAATGGGAGATTCGGGTTGATCTTCACCAGATCATTTTTTTTTCTATGATCCGAGAGTCTCTAGACCAAAGCACCGAGTTTAGCGCTCCTAACACCTTTGTGTCTTTATTAATCCGTTCTTCGATTTCCTTTTCGCATCTCCATTTGCTTGAGATTTTTACCCCTAAATACATAGATTCTTCGCAGGCTTCAATTTTCCTATTGTTATTTAATATCAGGTCTTCCAACTCGCCACCAACACACATGTATCTTGTCTTCTTGATGTTTAGCTCCAGTCCCTATTTTTCGTATGCTTTTATCAGTTTTCTAGTCACGTATTCTATGTTTTCTTCGTCTTGGGCCATTGCTATAATGCAGAGTATACAGAGAAAGGTTGTCATTAATAAGGGTATTTCCATCTGAGAACGCTTCTGATACGTAGATTTAAATAAAGTTGAGGACATGTAATAACCCTGTTTTAGACCTTTTGATGTTGGGAATAATTCAGATGGAGTTAGGACTATATATTTTAATTCTTGTGGAACAATTGCAGGAAAGTTGCTGTACCGTTTTAGACCGTTGGAGGACACCCATTCCAAGTTACGGATGGAGTCTTCCAGATTCTTCAGTTCCGCTTTCAGTTGATTCCCGTTTGGAAAACAGAACGGTTCTGGTCCAGTTAGTGGAGTGTTCGCTCCTTTTCTAGCTAGATCATTTGCTTTTTCATTGCCTTCAATCCCTTGGTGAGCAGGCACCCCGAGTAGGAGGAATTTTATTTTCTTTGTCTAATTTGTTAAGCTTCTCTAGGCATTCTTTGATCAACTTCGAATTGATGGTTACTGAGTTGATCGCATTTAGTGCTGCTTGACTATCGGATAAAATGGCTATTTCCTGTTTTCGATAGTTCCTATCTAAGATAAATTGTACGCATCTTTCGATAGCGCAAATTTCTGCCTGAAGGATACTGGAGTAGGTGCCCATTGGTTCGGAATATTTAGTTTTCGGCCCAAATACTCCTATCCCTGTTCCTGCTTTGGTTTTGGAAGCATCAGTATACCACGTGATGGTATGGTCTTTTATATGCTGAGTAAGCGTTTCTTTCTTCCAATCCTTTTTATTACTCAATACTACAGTGAAGTGTTTCTCAAACTTGTAAATTCTTGGTATGTCATCCACTGGGAGTTGGAGAAGTGGAATTCTCTTTTTGGGGGTGTTCCAAGCCCCTGACCTGAAAATTCTCCCAGTACTGTTTCCGTCAATGACCATTCTAATCATTGTCGCATTGGCATAGCTACCGACGACAATGTGCAGTGGTGTTAGGTCTAGAATGACCTCCATTGCTGCTGTTGGACATGTTCTCATGGCACCTGTGATGCAGATACATGCCAGTCTCATGGGTCTTACTATCATGGGTCTTACTATCATGGTATACATCCAGCGCAAATTTTAGGGGCGCAGCCCCACCTATTTCCCGCCAGTCTTCTGCATATCATGAGAGCCTCTGTGGCTTTGCTGGTAATATTCTTAATATGCCTGTTCCAGAGAAGTTTACTATCCAGGGCTATTCCCAGATATTTCACTTCCTGTGATGGCAGTATTTCCTTTCCATCTAGATGGATTCTTTTCAAGTTTTTCAAACTTCGCTTTCTGGTGAATGGCACTACCGCGGTTTTATCTGAGTTGATACTCAGCCCGACAGTCCTGCACCATCTCTCAGCGATGCAGAGTCCTCTTTGGATAATATCACACAGGGTGCCTTCATGTTTCCCCCGTGCAATGATGACTATGTCATCTGCATACCCTATGCAGTGTATTCCCGCTAGAGTTAATTCTTCCAGTTCATCCACTACCAAGCTCCATAGTAGGGGGGAGGTCACTCCACCTTGTGGAGTTCCTTGCGTTGTTTTAACAATTACAATTTTGGTACCTATCTCAGCCTCTACTGTTCGTGTTGGGAGCATTTCCCAAAACCAGCGAATTATCGTACTGTTCACCCCTCTTGTTTCAAGAGATCGCTTGACTACCTTGTGAGGTATATTGTCAAACGCCCCTGCAATGTCCAAGAAGGCACAAAGTGCTGTTTCTTTGCTATCCAGGCTTGCCTGTATTAGCTCAGTTAACTGGTACAGAGCAGTTTCTGTGGATCTGCCCGCTCTATATGCATGCTGACTATCGTGCAGTGGTTTAACCTGTAGATGATTTACTCTAATATGATTGTCCACTACTTTCTCCATCGTTTTTAATATGAACGATGTGAGACTAATAGGCCTAAATGATTTTGGGTTAGCCCAGTCAGTTTTGCCTTTTTTGGGTATGAAGATGACTTTCGCTCTTCTCCAGATGATTGGTATATATCCCATCGCTAAGCTGCTTCTTGTAATGTTTAATAGATGGAGTGTAGCTATTTCCTCACCTTTCTTTAGAAGGGCAGGAAAAATCCCATCTATTCCTGCTGTTTTAGGATGTTCCTTAATGACATGCTAATACCGTATGATCGAATAAAAACGGCGTCAACGATGGCTATGAAGTGAAGATCGCTGTCATTTTATATGTAAAATTATATGGCAAATATCATTGATCGTCATTTCATAGCCATCGCTGACGCCGTTTTTATTCGATTATACGGTATTTAAGGAGGTGATTCTTAGACCTATTCTAAGAAAAAAAACTTCATATGAATATATGTCCTAAACATCTTAACTTTTCAGATACAGGGTGGTAAAATTTTCATTTTTTTTTAATATCTCTAATGTTATATTTGAGACATATCTTCCATGCATCAGAATACATATTTTGATATTAACAAAAAAAATATTTTATTTCTTAATTACTTTCTAGCGAATGGAGAAATGATCTCCACAGTCACCGCATCAGATTTTCAGCCATTTAATTTGACCCTAAAATTAACTGATTTTTTAAGCAAAAACTATGCATCGGACAAAAAAAAATCAAGAGATAAAAATGTTTAGAAATGAATAGAGATTTTGAAGATAATTTTTTTTAAATAGAAGTCAGTGGTGTACCGTTTTTTTTCTTCAAAAATATTCAATGTAAAACCCGTATGGACTGTAGGTACTGGTTGAAATAAATAAAATTCTTTTTATATCAAAAAAGGTATTTTGATGCATAGAAGACGTGTATTATGTTTCATAAGTAGCTTGTAGCTAGTTTCATAGTTTACTAGCTCTGCTAGTAAAAAATTTTAAGCTTAAAGTATTACAACACAATTCACTTAAACCGAAAGCCCGTAATGCAAAACTAAAGTATTGTTACGGTTTAAAATTTCACCGTAACTTATTTTACTTATTTTGCTTATTTTTAGGAATAAAACTAAACTTACTTGAATAACTTGAATAATAACGTTTAATTAGCTTACTTCTTAACTGTACATATAACTTCTAATAATATCTTATCTATTAAATCTCTTTACCACAACAATTTCTTGGGATGGAGTTGCCTCCGATAACTGTAATATAAAACCTCATTAATAAAATATCAATTTGTCTGTTTAAAACCTACCTTTCTTTCTACAGTGGTTACTAATTCTTTATTTAGACTTATGCTTGTGTTAGGATAATTTTCTTGGCATATTTCTTCGGAGGATTCTTGAACATAGACTTGATGTGATTATCTTTTGTCTGTTTTCAACGCAACAAGTGGGAATGTTGGGTCTGCCATATACATAGGGGTTAAAGATTTTTATTATGTATTTTTCCTGTGTGTAATCAATTGATTTTACCTGATTATAGTTGATTTTTCTCTAAATTTCATCTTGTTTATATTACGATTTACAGATTGACGTTTCAATTGTTGTCAGCTGATCGTTTGACACCGACGTTGAAGTTTGACAGATGGGTCTTTGTAAATTAGGTTTTCGATCTTTTTAAACGGTTTTATATATGATCGAAAAATGTATTAATAATTTTCCGAAGATATTATGTTCATATAGGGATTATTGTATTGCAACACAATTCACTTAAACCGAAAGTCCGTAAACAAAACTAAAGTATCGAAACAAACCAAAATGTCAGGTAATAAATAAATAAATGTGACAACTTCACATTTTTTTTTGGATAAACAAAGCTACCACCTCAATCGCCAGTGGAAAATTTAAGTTCCATTCAGCACGTCGTCGAATATATCCATGGTTGGCAACAATGAATATAATAGTCGAGCCCTCGATGACGTAACTAAAAGTTTATTTGGTATCCATTATATTATGTAATTATAATTCGGAACATCTCTACATAATCATGAACAAATAATGTAAACGAAACACAAAAACGTTATTTATATACAAATTACTTTAAAGTACAAGTAATACCGCACAGAGAGGAAAAAACTGATAAATACCCTAACTAGCGTCCTCTCGTAAGAAACGACCCTTTTTTCGTCCCTTACGAAGTAAACAATTAGCCATTACGTCCGGCTGACAAATAACGCTCTCGCTAATAAATTATCTTCGTAGTTGCAAGGCGACGGAACTCGAATTGTAGTGTTGCAGCTTCGCCGTTGCAACCATTAACAACTTTGAAAGTTTAATCTGCAGAGAAAACTTGCTGGCCTGGTCACAACAAGGCGATACGTTTCAAGCGCAACGGCCACTGCGGCGAATAAGTGGGGCGCTGTGTCGTAGAATTGCAAAACAGAATTGCGGGATAATTGTTTTTTAATCGATGGTTAATGAAAAAAAAGACAAGTGCGAGTCCGTACAAATTTGTAGGCACATGCAACAGTTTTTTTCAATTTTCCTTATACGTCTATCTATTCCTTTTGTTAAGTTATTCGGGATTTAAATGGAAGTAGTTTGGATATGGCGTTTGTGCGGAGCAGGATTTGTCATTCCTGCCGTACAGACATACTAGGATCTGTGATCCTAGTATTAGCTTGTAAGACAAGCAGGTAGTACTACGTATACTACCTAGTTTAGTATATACTGTATTGTCAAGGATACTGGTTGGATATTTGAATAAAAAATAAATGTAGAACTATAATAGCAAACAATATTTAATTCAATAAAAAGAATAACACAATTTCCTACTATACTAAATCCTTACACTCTCTCATTCATACTCTTTGTGCTAGACAAAAATTTATACTATCTGTTACAAGATCTTTGAAAATATAAAATCGAAAATATAATAGAACTAAAACTTGATAAAGAAAATTTGCATGTAAAGGTTCCAAAGTCACTCTCGTTAAATTGTCATTAAACCCTGTCATAAATGTTCAAAATTCGTTACCTCACTTCTGCATTTGTATTGGCGGTGAAAAGGTAGAGCTGACCACAGTATAATACCTAGGGGTTATATTATACTGCGCTATAAACTTTTTTGGTCGATTTCACACACTTTTGATCGGTTTACACACTTTGTCGCACTCACGGTTCACTGTTCGGAAGCTTATTGTCTAGGAAAAAAACTAAATCTAGCTTAATGCTACTGACAAATGCTGATTTTGGAAAAAGTAGTTACCTAGCACTAAACTTCCGCGTTTACTGAATAATATAACTTTCCTGGTTTGGAAATATTAGAATTTCTTGGAGCAGAAACGTAAACTTGCGTATAACACGTAAAATAACTGACGTATTTTTCCTTGTTTCTTGGTGCAGAAACTTTGTAATTTTTGTTCATTGGCGCGTGAAAGAGACTAACTTGGACTTTGTATTTTTAGTTGTATATAAAGGTTACCCCGGTCGGTGAGAGACTGTCTTTTACTTTGTATTTTTACTAGTTTCTTGGTGCAGAAACTTATCTGTTTAATTCACTGGCGCGTGAAAACTGAACCGTAACAGGGTACGGTCGCGGGTGCCGGCGGTACTACCCTTCTCGTCGAGAGACTGAGTTAGACTCTTTATGTTTACACCCGCAAAATGGTCAGTTGTCCCGGATGGTACGTGATGTACGTGACCATTTTGCAGCCACATTTTCTTCTGGGAATCATACTTTCGTCGTGACTTTCTCTTCGTATTTTAGGGTGTTATTTAGATTTTATTGGCGGGAATTTCCGAAGGAGTATATTTTTATAGCTTGCTTTGTTCGCAACAGCGTTTGTCGCCTCAGTCTGAATATCTGTTGGTAATTTACTTATTTCGTTTTGAGCCATTTCTGGCTCCAATTCAATCAGCAATCGACACGAAAGAGTGTTAAAAAATATTGACTTAAAACTGACTAACTAAAGAGACAGCTTTATTTATTTGTCTAATTACATAGAAACCAACGCAACGCCAACCCAGTACAATATTTTTTCTACTCGTAATAAATTCCTTGAAATAATAATTTCTGAATATTTTTTAAAACGTAACTCGTTATGGAAAAAATATTGTTTAATACACGACGATAAAATTGCATTATCGTTTTGTATAAAAAATAACTATTTTTGCTACTTATTGCGACAAACCCCTTGACGCATGAGTGCTTTTTATTGCTTATAGTTCAAGAAAATAGGAACGTATAACGATCTATAGAAAACTATACAGGGTGTTTCAAAAAACATGTGCCATCTCTCGTGGCGAGATTCCTCACATAAAAATAAGATTTATTTTTCATATCAAAATAGGTCCGATTCTGCTTTGTTTCGTAGCTACAGGATGTTAAAGTCTTAATATTTTTTCGATTTATTATAAATTTCTTCCAAGTGCTTTTGGCATTTCGAAAGAAATTTTGAGGGTAAAAGTTACTATAAATGTATAAATTACATATTTTAAAGCTAAAAAAGTGTTGACATATGCACCAGAGACGTGCATATGGGTTATCACTTCTTAACTAAACAAGAAATAGCCATCTTATCTGATAGTCAAGCAGCATTAAAGGCGATCAACTCAGTATCAATCAATTCGAAATTGGTCAAAGAATGCATAGAGAAGCTGAATAAATTAGGCAAAGAAAACAAAGTCCTCCTACACTGGGTGCCTGCTCACCAAGGGATAGAAGGCAATGAAAAAGCAAATAATCTAGCTAGGAAAGGAACGAACACTCCACTAACTGGACCAGAACCGTTCTGCTTTCCAAGTGGTAACCAACTCAAGGCGGAACTCAAGAACTTGGAAGATTCCATCCGCAACCTGGAATGGAAATCTTGCAATGGTCTAGGACACTCGAAGAAGTTTCTGAGGGCTTATGATCAAGAAAAATCACAGATCTTCCTGGGTCTGAGTAAGAACAATCTTCCGGATTGTCACGGGGTTTTTAACAGGACACTGTCTCCTCAATGAACACCTCAGTAGATTGAAACTAAGAAGAAACGGCGAATGCAGATTCTGTGGGAAGATGGTGAAACACCAGTACACCTCATCACTGAGTGCGCCGAGACGACAACCATTCGTGCCATGAATTTTGGTACGACTGATATTGGAGATGGAGAACTACCCTCTATAAAACCGTCCCAGATACTGGCTTTTGTCAAAGCCCTGGGACTGTATGATGAGTTATGATTCAAGAAAGGGGGACACAATGGATCTGTAAGGTCGAAGTGATTAACCCCCCTCCCACTCATTCTAAATTCTTCTAAAAAATGGGTTATCACTGGAATAATTTTCTAAAAAAGCATGTACGCCACTGACTTTTTCTTCTCTAGTAAGCGAAATAGTATAAGCGGTTTAATGTCGATTAAAAGTTGTCTCTCGATATTTTGTCGGTTTCTGCCTCCTTGATGAGATAAACCCAATTTTATTAATTTGCCTTGATCCAAGTCTAATAGCAACATTTATCAACTTGCGAAAGTTTTATATAAGTACTCATTGATTCCTCATCAAAAAATATAAAAAAAAGTTCCAATAAACATGGATATGGAAATGCATAGTTTTAGTTACAGGATTAAAGCTTTTTAAAATTAGTTTTTTTGTAATTATCTGAAATACCATTATTTTTTTTACTTGAAATAACTGTACGTTGGACTAATACTAATAATATTTAATAATAATAAATTAGGTAAAATATATAACTTATTAATTTTATTTTTATTTTAATTTTATTGAGTGTGATTAATAAACGAGCGTTCCGAACAAAAGTTAGAAACAAATGTGACAAAATGGTGAAGGATATTTTTTGATTACCGATTGTCACAGGCTTTAGTCTGTGGTATTGTATAAAATGTTGTCATGACAACAGTATTTTTGGTGTTAAATTCAAGATAATAAAAATATCGAGTGAAATAAATTTCACGACTGCTTTATTGAATTAATTCGACATCAATAATGTAGAGGGTGTCCAATTTTCTGGTGTTTTACAGGGTTTCTCGCTTATGAGTAGAAGTACATAGATGCGGTTTTCACAATGCTATTTTTAAATGGGATACCCTGCATATATTTTTTTTATTTTATTTGCCTTGTTATGAGATTTTATAAAAATATAATATATTTTATACTTATTTTCTAAAATAAAAAATGCATTATTTAAGTTTTTAAAATAAATGAACCTATATTTTAAAAGAGTATTATTTTATTTTATTTAATTTAATCAATTATATATCAAGGCATTAGATACAAATACGACGGCGGTCTATTCCACATAAAAAGACTGAGGCAAAAACACGTACCTACAAAATTGATCACAGTACTTTGAATTCATGATTACAAAATCCCGCTTAAGATCACATAAAACCGTATACCAAAATCTCTGCTTTACGGTGAGCTTGTAGACGGTAAGAGGAGGCCGGGTGGACAACTCAAAAGATACAAGGATATCTTCCACGGAATTATTTGTTATTTTACGAATTTGGACTTGAAGAATTGAAGGGATGTCCAGTTGCTTTGTGATTTTCTTTTGCACTCGCACTTTTATGATCAAAAAAATCATAACATCTCAGTTTATTTCTTTGTTTGAATTAAATAAAAATATTAATTATTTATTAATAATGTATAAAACTATCTATCTAATTTATTCATTTCAGTGAAACCGAACAAGGTGAAGATAGTCACCCCCAACGATCTGCTATCCAGCGGCAAATCCAAGAACGTCAGATGCGAGACTTCCGGTTCGGCGCCGCCCGCCAAACTGACGTGGTTTCTTGACGGAAGGCCCATCAGGAACGCGGTCGTTACGGTAAGTTGCCGTGCAGCGGCGAACACGTTACTACAATAACTTTACCTGTCCAATATATCAAGTCGTCGGATAAATAATACATCCTCCAGGAATAACCAAGTGTTTATATAGCGGGAGCTTGTTGCAGTGTCTTAGAAACTGTTCTTTAGTAAAATAAAAGGGTTTAAGGTAAACATAGGAAAACTATACAAATTTACAGTCATCTATATTCTTCTATAATTTTGAAGATATATACCATTCAAACCCACAAACCTGTGAAGAATGTATTTTTCTAATATAATTGAATAAGCATTTATATTGAAATATAAAAAAAAACTATTTGCGTAGATAACGTTTTCTTCAAGTGTTATGATGAAAAAATTAACATCTGCACAGCTTTGAATGTGGTATACAATGATTCAATAAAGAAACTAAAAGAATTTCGGATTTTCATTATCTTTATATATTGTCGCGACCCCGTTTTAGAGGGTTGCGGCTAGGGACGTTTTAGGTATCGAAGATCATTAAAACAATCAATATATATAAAAACAAAATATAAATTTATTAAAGAATTAAATGCATTAGTTTAGGTAGGAGAAATGTCAAGCAGAATATCTTTTGGCCAATAAAATATACTTAGAGAAAATATATAAAAAATATAAACTTACTTTACTGTCATTATGATACTTGGAGAACTCAACTCAACTCAACAGCATGACTTCTTCATTCGTTCTCCCCGAGAGCCCCAAAACTCTCTCCCCCATTTTACTTTTTAATTCTCCTACATATTGATATTTACAACAATAAGAATTAAACAAAGTTCACCTTCAGATCTTAGTCTGACGTCAACTTGTTATAGTTTAATTTTTATTTTGCAAATATTATGTTTATAGAAATATATTCTATTTAATATATTGGGTGATTTATTTTAATGATAAATACATAAATTCTTGCTCTTGACATTTCCCCCGGTCCTGAAAAAGCTGGTCCCCAGCGTTAAATATAAAGAAAATATAGATATTAAAATAAATTACCTGTGAATATAATAATAATGCAATAAATAAATGAAAATTGTGTTGTGTTATTTTATACATATAAAATAATAAAACTTAATACTCATAAAATAGACTAATATAGAATAATATTTCTTAGAGGCAATGTAATATAGTGATATAAAACAATGAAAATAATATTTAGTGGGATTGTAACTTGAAACATTAATTAAATTAATTTCTCGTACTCTTTAACCCTTTACATTAATAAAAAAAAATCTTGATACCACTTTGTACTGTTGGGAGCAAATTTTCTGCTGGGATCTTCCAATGAACTTTCTTGGGGTGCTTCTATCAGCTAAGCAATGCACACACCAGCTTCTACCCTTGCCTATAATCCATGTGTTCCTAGTTGCATGGGTTTTTCTGTTTTCATTTCCATGCATTATTTAAATATCATATGCGCTGAAGGTCAATGGCGCGAGAACGACGACTTTTAAACTTGCAGAATCAGCATCATTAAACTATAACAAAGTTCACCTTCAGATCTTAGTCTGACGTCAATTTGTTATAGTTTAATTTTTATTTTGCAAATATTATGTTTATAGAAATATATTCTATTTAATATATTGGGTGATTTATTTTAATGATAAATACATAAATTCTTGCTCTTGACAATATTTAAATTTGCTCAACGCTTCAAATTAATTTAACTAGCTCAGTATACAGGGTGTCCCAGGCTGAGCGTGCATTAGAAGTTTCTAGAGAACTATTATACTACTATTACTATTCTGCCTTAAAATGGCAAAAGGCAGTAAGTAACAAAAAAACGAATTTGAATAAATCGAATTTTAATGGGAAAGGATGGCCTTTCTGTAATAATAATGCAATCAAGCGATACTGGGGTCTAAAAATACACAAAAAAATTCTATAATATTCATGAAAAATTTTACTTTCTAATTAAAAAAAAATAACTTACTGCCTTCTGTCCCAGTATTTCTGATGTAAAAAATTGATTAGAATAGCAGTAAGTGAAATAATTTTTATGAAAATTTTCATCTCAAAACGTTTATTAACTAATTATTCGTAAATAAAAATATGTTACATTTCAGTCTGTTGTAATTAAATCATCAACATCCGCTTCCGATAATTTTATCCAAAAAAAATCTGGTTTTCTGGCATCAGAGGTCCCAATTCTGCTAAAATTCCATTTTTTTGGCAGCTTGAATTCTTTTTGGTCCGGCAAGCAATTTTCTGGGATTTTTAGCTGAAATTTTTGCTTTAAGAAATTACATTCTTGAAATTGCTCGTCTGTCAAACTATTTTTGTAAAACATATGACGTGAGTTTCTTCTCAACTGAATCACAGATACATCGCACAGAAGAGGCCGATTAATTTTCTTCGATTTCGAGTCGCCTGATTCCCAATCTAAAATATCCTTGTTGTCCAAGCATAAAACTTTCATCTTTTTTGAATTATTATTTTGTACAGCATCAATAAAATCATTAAAGTCATATAGATTGACTATATATTTTATGCTTAATTCAACACCATGATGTACAGTTACGTTGGCAAAGAGCAGTATCTGAATAAAGCCAGCACATACTGCTGTTTAACTAAGTATAACATAAAAAAAAGCATACATACTGCTGTTTGCATTCTTATTTTATTTGGTAATGCGTAGAAATTTTTAAAAGGCGGTTTATTTGAAAGCTGGGTCACTTACTGCTCCTGCGTAATCAATAAAAATGTAGTGTATCACCATTTGTCACTTACTGCCTTTTGCCATTTTTGGGCAGTATTGCCATTACTCGCTGACGAGTATTCGCCACGCATCAGAAGATGGTCACGCAAGGCGTTCTCTTTCATGAGCTTTTCTGTGACTGAAAAGCCCGATACGTGATGTTATCTGCCTATAGCACTCCGGACATTCGAAAATCTAATTGCTTTGTTGCCTCTTTACTTTTTGGTTGTCGCTGTTAACTGAGTTTACAATTTTTCTCCATTAAGTTCTATTGTGAGCTACTTCTTCCCAATCATTCTGCATGTTAATCTCCTTTAAGTTTTCGTGAAAAATGTCCTTGTACTTTTTCGGTTGTCCACCCGGCCTTCTCTTACCGTCTACAAGCTCACCGTAAAGGAGAAATTTTGTTATGCGGTTTTCTTGCATTCTGCATACGTGACCAGCCCATCTTAAGCGGGATTTTGTAACCATGACTCCACTACTATCGCAGTTAGCTTTTTCAAGGACCGATACGTTTGAGACATGATGGAATCACCGGATTCTTAAGAGTTGTCTAAGGTGCTTCTGTTGCAATTTGTTTAATGCGTTGATGTGTCGGCGGTACGTCACCCAGATTTCGCTCCCATATAACATGGTAAGGATTATAATTGCTCGGTACACTGCAAGCTTCGTTTTTGTACTCAAGTCATGATTGTAGAAAACCCTGTCTTTTAATTTTCAGAATGCTCTTGAGGCGCTGCTAACCATGTGTTGAAATTTAGAGTCAATATTGGCCTCTTCCGAAATCAAACTGCCGAGGTAATTGAATTCCGCCACATATTCCAACAGTTCTTCTCCGATTTTTATAGCATTGTTATGATCTTCCGGGGGAGTGCACATGATTTTGGTTTTGTCTATGTTTAGCTTAAGGCCCAAAGCCTCGTATGCCCAGGTATATTAGTTCAACATTTATTGTAATTCTTGTAATGTGTTTGCAACTAGAGCGCAGTCACCAACGTATTGAAATTCTGTGATGAATTTTGTGCCCTGAGTCTTTTTATATTGATCAGACCACCCTAGTATCTGTATCTAATGCCCAATTCTCTCTCCTGCAGTTTGCTATCCACTATAATGGAGAGCGCTGCCATGAATATGTTGAATAGGAGAGGCGCTAAGACACATGCCTGCCTAACTCCTGTATTTGTTGGAAGGGAACGCTCAGTGATCTATGATGTGACACTCTTGACTTGTTGTTATGGAAGCTTTTACACACTGTAAGAAGTCTGTTGGGTACTCAATGGAACAATATAATTGCCAAAAGCGCATCTCTGTTCACAGAGTCGAAGGCTTTTGTTAGATCTATGTATGTAACATAAAGTTTAGACTGCTGCTCTTTTACTTTTTCCTGTAGTTGGCGAATGGAAAATATGGAATCGACGGTGCCGCGGTTGGTGCGAAAACCCGTTTGCGATTCTGGAAGGATTTTTCTATATGTGGGTGCAGACGGTTTGACATAATTTTTGCAAGAATTTTTCCTCCGATAGCCAGTAGTGAAATTCAACGGTAATTCCCGCAGTCTGATGCACTTTACCGTCACCCTTACCATACCATCACCACTGTGAAAAAAAAGATATATGTATAAGAATATCTCCTAACAAACTATTTTTTTGAAAAATATTCTCATTATTAAATTATCTACTAATAAAATAAATAACAACAGGAAAAAAATAAAAGAACGTTATCGTTAAAATGTGAACGATCGATTCGACGCTGCCACTAATTAGAAGCTTGTTTATGCCTAACAAGCAAGTTATGCAAAACAATACCGAAACGTGACGGTGTGTATTTATTAATTGGGGATCTCAGTACTATAATACTAATTGAATTAATTATTTGTGAAATTTCTTCGGACGCGCTTGTTTCAATTAATACCGATCGATTGTTATTTGCAGTGGTTTAGTAGTTCCACGCAGATTCACGTTTTGGTATCCAATCAATATTAAAATTTATAATTTTATAATATGTATAATTAAAATTGATATTTTTGGTTGAGGTTACATTTTTTCTAACTTTACAACCAAATATTTTTGTCTTTTTATGTATTACAGTTGGGACTCGGACCCTTTCGTGTGACAATAGCAAAATAAAACACTAATTCACCTCAATACACCCAAACACTTTACTTTTAACACTGGACGCGCCTTTTGCTAACGATTTTATCATAATCAGCTGATGATTAAAACTAAACTATTATCTGCATATTATTGGGGCACATTATTTATCTGCATATTTTCTGCACATCATTA